TATATCATTTTGATTATCATATTGATATTCCACAGATAACGCTCGGTGATAACGTCAGAACCTAATATAGGGCCTAATATGGTGGATCATTTCCTATTTTTTAAATTCACCCGTCTCGATCAGGCGCGAATCATTCAAACGCGTGTATATCCCTCGCGACATGATAAACGATGCGTTTAACGATCTACGCGAAAACAGCCGCTTTTATAGAGTTAAAGTAACCGTTCAGGTGCGCGACATCGCAGAGTAGTTACGCTGCGGGGATGTTGACAAATGGATGCTACAGCTGGCTTCTCCCTCAGGATTTCGATAAATTAAACATGTTGGGAGGACGCGATTTGTAAAATGTCGTCGGGCGACGCCGTCACCCGGCAAGACATCGAGACATTTTTCTTCACTATTCCTGTATTTGTTGACATACACTTGCTGAGAACGCAGGGTGGAGGCAGATATTAACTTCAGGTGTGACAATGATTCAGCATCGTAGAGTGTCATAGTATTTATCAGTTGTGAGAATTTCAGCACGTAACTTGAACGTAATATTGCTCTCTTATTTCAAGAGTTACACAAGAGCTCAAAAAATATAATTTAAAAAATTATTTTCATAAACGAGTTAAATAAATATTATTCTATTAATCATCACAAATATAAATTAACTTAACATTATGAAAAATTGTCAAAATCAGCCTCTTTTCAAACTAATCATAAGAGGACCTATAATCAAGTAGATTAATCGCGCATTATTTATAAAGTTTAAGTACTTTGATTTCTTGAATAACCGTTTACAGTTGTTATTGTCACACTAATGTTCATTTCCACCAATGTAGATTAACTTTAATTTTGGTTCAACTTCCTCTTCATCTTTTTCTAAAGATTAGAAAAAGACGAAGAATAGGTTGAAGCGAGATTAAAGTTAATTTACATTGGTGGAAATACACATAAATGGTCTTTATGACACTCAAGACACTCGTAAAAGATGTCAAACAATAATGCGTTACTGACGTCTCCATCAGTAAAGGAATAGGGAGGAAAGTTTTATACCATGTAAATCAATGTTCTAACACACGACAGCTGTTTAAGGGATGAAAAAAAGATCGGCGTATTTTGTGAACGTTCCTCGATCTTCGTACCGCATTCAAGAGATATCCGCATTAAATATCTGTGCGTTTTATAAAATTTATTTCTATTAGCCGGTTCTTTAACAATCCGGGCTCTATGGATTTGTCACTTCTCGTGCCTTTTCCTTGTTAGCGAACCGATAGATGAAGGCGAACAAGAAAACGCCGAGGAATCGGCCAATCAACGTGACAGGGTTTAGTAAACGAACCGTGACCCGAAAACGGGTCACTGACACATTAATTCCAGTCTCAGTGTCTGCGTGCGTTAACGAGCACCGACGCCCACCGACATCCGTCCGTCTTTTAGAAAAATGGAAAACGCGGATCAGCCGCGGTAATTTCCGGTAATTGACGCGCGACGGCCACTTTAATACTATTCTTCTCGTTTTTATGAGATTCCAAGCGATTCGTCACAACGGACGTCTCAGTGATCACCGACGAATCTTCGTATACAAAAAAAAAATATAATGGTACTTTCTAAATCTCGTGGAGTGAAATCTCACTCGAAGAAACTGAAAATTTAGCCCGTCTTGAAAAAAGAATGAAAATACGGCCACTCTTGTTCAAGAGTGGCAGATTTTCTTTTTAGAATGACATTTACTCTTTTAAAAGGAGTGAAATCTCAATCCCTTTCGAAGGAGTGAAATCTCAATCCCTTTTTTGGAGTGGAATATTAGGGTAGATAGAACCTCACTCCAAAAAAGGATTTGAGATTTCATTCCTTCAGAATCTCTCTCATTCCAAAAGAATAAATCTCACTTTAAAAAGAATAAAAATCTGCCACTCTTGAACAAGAGTGGTCGTATTTTCATTCTTGAAAAAGAGGCTAAATTTTCAATCTCTTCGAATGATTTCACTCCACGAGATTTAGAAAGTATACAAGTGACAACTATACAAGTTTTATATGTAGAATTAATGTACGCATAATTAAATAAATTATTTTATAGTTTTTTTTTTTATTATAAAATATAGAATTAGATAAAAATCATGTAAAAAAATATATAAACTACAAGGCAATAATTATTGCGTAATTTCTCGCAATTCAAAAAAATGTTTCTACTTTAATTTCAACTAATTATAAAAGAAAATAATGCAACTTATATACCAGTTTTCGCACAAGTTTAATTTCGTAACTCTATTCTTCGCACGTAACGAAGGTAAATAACAACAGTTAAGGTTATTAGAATGGCTTATTATTAGAATGGCTTATTACACTAGATTACATTATTACATTAACGCGATGAAGACAGAACGTCTCGCGCACACGTCTAAAGGTCCAGTGCATACAAACGACTAGACAATTATTATTGCATAATTTTTCAATTTCGAAATTCTATTACTTTAATTTCAATCTCAATAAAATGCAGTAACTTATATACCATCACACAAGTTCAACACAAGTTCAATTTTTCAATAAATCAATATTAATATTACATGAAGAAACAATGCTTTAACATTATTTGGATTGCATAATTTTATTCGAGTATCTTTGTTTTGTTAAAGTGGCTGCTTGCGATGTCGTACTTGTGCACGTATGTATTTATTTTCGAAGTTCCGTTCATGTATCAAAAGAGTAATTTCAAGGAAACGATAAAAGCGAGGAAGTAGATCGAAGTACTAAAAACCCTCATACTCTCACTCATCGTTTAGCGAAGAAATCGAGAGACCCTAGTGAAACCTAGTGGTTGGTTCTCTCTTGACTTACTGATGGACGAAAGACGAGAAATCGTAATTTAAATGGAAAGACGTAATTTTGCCTTAATGTGACGGCTCCAACATAAAAGTTTTACGAGCTTCCATGATGCGTCGGTAGCCGGACAGAAAACTCGACTTTCATTCGCGTGGCATTAGCCAATTTCTGAGCGATTCTTGCGACTTTCATACTCCAACGAGCATGTACCGCGCGCTTTAATAAACTTTAGGGAAGGAAAGAACCGAGAGAACTTTCCCCTCGCCATTAAAATGACTGCCGTTCTACAGACGCTTAGGAAAGACTCTACAAGGTGGCTGCAGAACGCGAAATCTGGGTCGGTTGGTAACAGAGTCGACTGGTGAATGGTTGAATTTCCCACCCAACACACTCGGTTATCATCGACCGAAGAAGCTTGCGTTACCAGCAAACTCGTCAAGCTTATCGGCGGTTGAAAGTTCGAGGTTGGTCGGTACAAGAGTTGATAAAACCTTGCCAACCTACTGAAGTTCATTCGTCGTACATTGGTTGAAGATAATTTAGAAACGATTACCGAACTGCATCAAAGGGTGTCGAAAGTCGTTTTATTTAATCATAATGAGATCACAAGTTAACTTACAGAGCTCATCCAATGGAAAAACTACACTCTAAAAATATCAGTATGGATTTAACATCATGTGATGTTTATGTAACTTTTGATATTAATATAAACACCAACAGGTATGAATTTAAAATCCCTGGTATTTATATCAACACTATTAAGATGTGGATTTAAAACCCACAATATTAAATCCATCAATAGTGAAATTTAAACAGAAGCCTACAAGACCCAGATCTAAGGATACCTCCTAAGTACCAAAATTAAAGTAAATTTTATATTGTGTAGAATTGTCATTTATGATAATGTTCCTTGTAATACTTTGGCGTATAAAAATAAAATCTTAATATTTTGATAGAAAAGTGATACTTTTCGACGAAACTTTTTTTATTGTTAATTTGTCTGAAAGGGCGCCAAGAAGTAAGGCCTAGGATGCAAAAATGTATAAATTCATCACTGATTAATCCACATATTGATGTTAATATTAACAATGCAGTGAGAATTATACAGATCGCATGATATTAAATTCACATCGATATTTTTTAAAATGTAAGCATTGATCTCTGTGAATGGCTGTAATCAATAGTGACATGATTAAATCGGGACATCCCCGCATCAAATCTGAATAATATTTTATTCAATTTATTCATTTATCACTCATTTTATAACTATCAATAAATATATTAGCGCTAAGTATTAATATAATTTGCAAAGAGCTCTGGCAATTTTAGATAAAGACTAATTGTTTTAAGTAACCAAAGTTTCAAGTAACCAAAATTTTTATTAGTGTGCTTGAAGAAATTTCTTTTCGTCGCATTTATATCCGAAGTAAGTCAGCAATTTTTTTATCTAACATTTACGAAGCGGAAAAAGTGTCGACATCTAATTGCGCTCAGGAAATTCCGCGGAATGAAACGGTAAATACGGGTGTTAATTGGTTTCAATGGACGGTAAAAGCTCGTAACAAGAGATGAAGCGCAACGAGCAGCGACCGACCGTACGAAAACAGGAAATCAATGGAAATTGGCAAAAAAAAAAAACGCGTAATCACGTTTTTCGATTGTCTAAATTCGCGGGTTTCGATGAAGTTTTAATTTGGAATTAAAATACACGAAAAAAATTACTGTCGACCAATGATTGAGAAATATATGCAAATTTAAGAGTGACACTTGGCTAAAAGAAAAGAGAATTACGAAGAAAGGAGAATCACGAATGTTAACATTTTAGTGCGTTCAGGAACGCATCAATGTAACAGTCAGAAACTGGTAGATATTAAATGCGCGATAAGTATAAAACGGTGGAAACGACTAAGAACACTCAGGGATCCCGTAATAGATCCTGAAGAATGATTTAATCCTATTTCCGTCGTTCTACGCGACGGCCCCGTGGAGACGGAATGAAAAATTCCACCGCGGTGACAGAATATTCTAGGGAAGTTGCGAGAATGATTAAGTGAATCGTGACGCAACGTTCGCCCGCTGTTCTGGGTTTATAAAATCAAGTTAACTCTTGGTCTCGGGGCTCTCTCGCTCTTATTTTTTCTCGTCCGACTATCCTCCTTAACCATGGACTCCGTTCCTCTTTTTGTTTCCAGGTTACTCCGCAGCGGCGCTTCTCGCGATCCTTTTCTGCATCCCTTTCGCGCTGAGGGTGCTCATCCATAAGGAGACTGGGGGATGGAGTAGCTGGATCCAGGCCTTCTATCACGCTCACTTCGAACTTTTTCTCGGGAACGGCTGTTTAGGTACGATGAATTGTTATTAACATGACCAGAATCCTGCAGAAATTCCGCTACACGGAGAGAATTTTTTCTTAGAGTTTACCCGTAGTCGTGGGACAACAATGTATATTTCGAAAAATTTTAATGTAAATCTCTCTCATTCATTAATAAAATTACAATAAACTATAAAATATTAATTAATTCTACTGAAGTGCATGGTAAAAATCTTTAAAATATTGTATTGTATACCACAACTATCATATTTTTAGGGTAAATTTCAAAAGAAAATTCTCTTTGTATACAAATAATCGACTTGTTCTCTCTCTCCCTCTGCTCTTCTCTCTTCTCTCTCTCTCTCTCTCTCTCTCTCTCTCTCTCTCTCTCCCTCTCGTGTTTACACTTACACTTGTGTATTACTCACATATTTATACTTTATTATGTTTAAATTTTTTTATTTTTTTATTTCTCTGCATTTATATTTTATTTCTTCATTTTATATTAATGCTTATTATTTTTTTTATTAATTCTTATTCTATTAATTTTCTATTTTTTGTAATAAATTTTCAATTATATTTAATTTTAGCGCTTAAAAGGAGATTATTTCTAGAGCGCTTAAAAAATAGCGATATTTATATTTCTGTATCTCTCTTATCTTTCAAGCTTTAGCTAAACTCTGCTTCTCGTTGTTCGCATGCTACATGTTTTTTCATTTATCTTCACAAATTTTAATGTTAATTTTATTTTATTTGTAATACATCTTTTTCTTCGTACCTATTTTTCTTATATTTTCCATTTTATTTTATTTTTTTCTTTACCATTATTCTTTATTTATTCTTTATATATTCTTAGAAGACTTGCTCTAGAATATAACCGCTCTAGAATATAAATAAACACTCTTTGTTCATCTATCTTTCTTTCTCGTGCACTTTCTATCTCTCATTAATATCATTCTTATGAAAACGACTGATATGATCCTCAACGGGGAAAAGGAATAAATTTATCTACATTCTACATTATCTATTCTTCACACTGAACGCCGAAAGAAATAGAAGATCGCTCGTGCAGAACTTCTCGCTCGCAACGGAAACTTTGGCTTTTCCATATCTTGCGGCTCTTGTAAGTTACGACGATTATGGCGATTAAAAGTTCGCTCTGACATAGTTCAAAGAAAGAGAATTAGAGAAAATGGAACGCGAAAGGAAAAAAGAACGTTTTGCGCACAACAAAATTCTGCACAGGCGACGAAACGCGATGCGCAAAAATTTTTCGATTAACACCACGTATATATTGCGTGTGGAAACGCACAGATGTCTATGAAGAGAGGTTTTAAGGCGACTCGAGCATTATATAGCATTATATTCGAGAGATATAGGGGTTAATTGTATGCGTAGGAGTTGGAGTAATGATGCTTCTGGCATTGACAGTGGAGCGTTACGTAAGCGTCTGTCATCCCGGACAACACACGCGACCACTCTGCGGACCACCTCACCTAACAGTGGTACTCATCCCTCTGGCTACATTTCTCGTTTATCTACCGAGTGTATTTCGGGGTGAAATTACGACTTGCCTGCTGGCACCCGACGGTCCTCTAATCTACCAGAAAAGAGACAATCAGACATTTCTCAACTCGTGGTACTATCAGGTAATTCATATTTTTTTTTCTCGCTGGCAAAGTTGCTTTTTCTTTCTAGTCATAACTTCGAAATGATATTTTAAAGCCGACAACACGAATATAACATTGTCAATTTTTTGTTTATTCCTTAATTCTGAAACACTCTTAAGTGACACAATATTTCTCTATTGATACATAAATTATATGTACAAGAAATAGGACATTCATAATTAATGTAACACAAGTTCTTCATACATTCACACTTTTAATAAAAAAATATTTATAATCTAGAATAATAATAAAAGATTATAATAATATTTATAATCTAGATTCTAGATTATAAAAAAGATTTTTGTAAACACAAATAATTATTAACTTAGAAAAGAAAAGATAGAATGAGCACTGTCAATTTTGTAATAATATGGAGTATGTAGTCTAATTGTGTGTATGTGTGTGTGTATGTTCCTTCATAACACTTAAATAATATATAATAACGCTATAATAATAAATAATAAGAAAATTATAACCTTCAATAAAACTGTTTGAAAATTGAAATCATTTATCACATTCTCTGTTATAAATACTGTGACATCAATGAATATATAACGGATACATTTTTAAATATCTTGTCTTTACTTATCCTAGCCTTTAACATAGTAAATTGAACTTCTTAATGACCATTGAAAGTATAGTTTAGCACTGAATGATCTCACTCACTTGTATATAAAATTTATTATCGATAGTATTTTAGAATTAATTACTTGTAATATTAATGCTAGTTATATACATATATGTAAAATATACTTTAGTCTAAATTCATAGAAATATCTAATGACAAAAAAGAGATCTGACATATAAAATTAAGGGATTCCTAGAATATTTAACATATTTAATTATGTTCTATTTATGTGTGCGAGCTTAAAATAGTTTACATTTAATTTTAAATTCTAATTTTATGGACTCTTCGTATAATTGTGGTGCAAATATTGTAATAATGTATTTCAGGTGTATAAAGTGGTGCTAGAAGTTGTTTATAAAGTGGCACCAACGATTCTTCTCGCCGGTTTCAATCTAAGAATAATGATAGTGTACAGAAGGTCCTGCGAGAGGCGCCGGAGAATGACCCTATCGAGAACTGTTAGCAGCGACGAGGATCCTAGAACTTTTGCTGAAGAACGGAGACTCATGCTGCTCTTGGGTAGCACCAGTATCCTTTTTTTAGTCTGCGTCAGTCCTATGGTCATCTTAAATGTTACGCTCAGCGAGAGCAATCTCAACAATTATGCTTACCAGGTAAAGAGATTTATTCTAAATATTTTCATTGCATATTGCCTCTCAATTAAATGATTTAACAATAATTTACAACTTTTACAAGATTTCTATTTTTTAACTAAATGATGATTTTTATATGTTATTAGCTGCTAAGAAAGAATGTAAATTAAAAGATTTTATCAACCACCAATCAGATTCAAAAAACTTAATTTCTGAAAAACTCTACAAACTTAAGCAATTTACAACTTTTTTCTTTTACTTTACGGAATAAAATATATAAAATATATAAAAATACAAAAAATTCTCAATATCATTCAGGTGCTGAGAAATAGAAATCTTATAAGTCAGTGTAATTTTTTGATTATTAAACGTTGTCAATAAATTTATATATATAAATAATAAAAGAAGCTTCATTCACATTTATTTATATATATTAAAAGTTAATTGAAATTGTCATACCTAACGGATTTGCGTTATATTATACAAAAAATCCTCAATCAACAAAATTTTTTAAGATTGAAGGGATGGTATTTTTTGAAAATCATATTTCTTTTTTAGCATAAAAAATTCTATATGAAACATTTATTATATAATACTTGTTAAGGAATAAAATTAATTAAAATTTGTTTTTTAGTGCAATTATCTTCAAAACACATATTCATTCTTACAATTTAATATAAATTAACAGTAGAATTGAATTTCGAATTAAAAATTAATTTACGAAAACAACTACTACTTTAGTCTAGTAATCTATTTTTCTCTAGCAATCTAATTTTTATTCTCATCATTTTATTGCTATACAAGAATGGTCGATCAGGATTTACTTTTCCCCGCTTTTCTGCTTTTTCTCAATAATTGATTTTAAATTCCAACATATACATTCTCGCGTCTAATACACGACTTCATCAATTATGAATCCGTCCATTAATTCACTGTATTCGGTTGCAGGTGTTCCGTGCTCTGGCCAATCTGCTGGAAGTGATCAATTACTCGATCACATTTTACATTTATTGCCTCTTTTCCGAAGACTTTCGAAACACTCTAATTCGTACGCTGCAGTGGCCGTGGGTCAAGAGCGAGCAAGGCGGTAGGAGCCTGCCGATGAAACGTTCTCCGATACCTAGACCGACGACTACGACGACAACCCCGCCAACTACCACAGTTGCGACTCCCGGACATCTGGCTCGTGCCAGTGTTTAACACGGATTTTTTGCCATCGATTCTGGCGTCAACCGCTCGGTCGCCAAGCGGTGGAACAAAAAGGATTCGAATCTAGCGCAGGATTGACGCACTATGCAACTGTAAACGTCAGGTTTCATTGTAAGAGGAAAAAAAATTCTGTTAAATAGCCAGATATTCGAACACGCCGTTCGTTTACGTCACACGATTACGTCGGACATCTCGTTTGCGTGTATATGGGTATGATGGTGATAATAGTAATTAATGAAATTTCTTACGGTGATTAAATAGCCGTTTCTTCGACCGATAAAAACGTCGGCGGAAAGACATTCATCTTCTGCTGGGCGTTTCCTACGAATCTTCTCATTCTTACAAGTCGATTTACAAGAAAGTATTCGAACTATGCATATTCTCTGTGTACTGATGAACTCCGAAATAGTTGCAGAGGCACGGCCATATTTACGAAACATTCCTGCGTACTAGAGCCTAAAGTTGGGCGTGTCTACAAGGTTCTGCTGTTGCAAAATTTCAACATTTGATCACTCCGAGAATCAAATCGACCAATTTGATTAAATAGTCGATATCCGATTATCTCTCCCTCTGTCGAACGATATTCTCGCTCGGTGATCGCGTGAAAGCGTTCGTGAATGTCCAACTCGATTTCATGAAATAACGACGAGGATATAAAAAGACAAGAAATTCTATGTATCGCCGATTGTCCCACGGGACTCTTTTGTGCTCCAAAGTACAAGCTGGAAAAGTTTCTAACGTAGTCAATCGAGTTTATGCGAAGGAGAGAACAAAGAGCGTGAGAGAGGAGAAATGAGAGCCGCGTCGCAATGCGTCTGTGACTCCAAGAACTCATCAGAATTCGCGCGAAAATGCGACAATAAGACTTGTGCATCGTTGTCGCTCGTTGGAAATTAAACGAAAGCGCTCGGATGAGGTGAGAGAAAAAGGAAAGACGATTAAAAGGGATAAAAGGGAAAAATCTGAAATGTGTCAAGTACCTGATTGTACAAGGGAATTTTCTTTCCCGCGAGAAACCACGGGAATAGCCGGGGTTGAATCGGGATGGAAGAGACAGTGTTAAGAGAGAGAATACGGGATCATCAGAAACGGAAGACGGGAGGCACACAAAAAGCATACCGCAGCTCTTACGGATATTTAAAATAACGAATAACATCGAGAAATATTTTATCTTCGATGAATCATCGCGATTTATTTCCGTGTGAGTGCTGTATAATTAAGCGCCAACCGAACGCCAGTAAGAATTACATCTCGTCTTCGCCGCGTTATCGGCATTAATCTTTTACACACCACGATGTATCTTCGTCGTCGATAAGCTACGTTCGATTAGACCTAAGCAATTTATGTATAGTGCTCGATAACGCTTCTCATTCCACGTTTCACGGGACGGGAATTGAATTTCAAGGAGATTCGCGTATTGAAGGAACGAAAAGAACGTATCGCGATGCGGGAGCGAACGGGACGATACGAAACTACTGGTCACGCCTTTTGGATCTAACGAAAGAACTGTAGCCATTGCCGGCTATGATAATAATATTCCATCGAACTCTGTCCGAAATAAACCGCTACCTCTTGATTACATCGCGTTCCGAAAATAGATGCTGCACTTCAGAGAGATATTCTCATTTCTCCGGGAAATCGATAATTAAATTCGTCGCAACGGGTCCGTCCGCGTTCACGGTTCGATGGTAATATTATTTCTTTATTTGCATACGTAAATCCCAACGAAGAATATTTCGCGACGTGTACTTCCCTTCCTGGGACGCGGCGCGTCTCGTTTAGTAACTTCGGCGAAGCGTGTGTGCGCGCGTGTAAGCGAAGAAATAAATTCAGAGAAACGTCTATTCTGTTTTCCCTGCGTCCTCCCCATCTTTATTATGCAAACTTTTACGGAACGTAAAAGTTGTAGAGTATGTATAATTTACTTGAAAATCGAGAAACATGAAGGAGATACTTTGAGCTGTTCCTTGTTTTTAAAACCCTCTGTTTTTATCCATCCAGAAAAGATTAATGGATCAATCGATATGTTGATAAAAAATCAATGTCTAATGTTTAATATCTTTGTCAGCTTCAATTCTTATTACAATTATTTTTATGTTAATTGACTAATTGCGAATATTTGTACGAGATTTCTATTGTCTCTTGATCAATTCTACGTCGAATACACGGAAAGAACGATTTTGCTAAATCTCTAAAACTTTTAAAATGAATTTCATCATTTCTTTGAAAAGTAAAATCTCACTCTTGAAATTAGAGTCACTTTTTTTTTCAAAACTGGCTTAATTTTTGCATTTTACAATTATATAGATATAGATTTCGTTCCAAAGAATTTAGAGAGTACATATAGCTAAATTTTTAGGTATTTCAAAAATCTTTCCGTTATATTGTTTTCGAATGAGTAGCATAATTTATTAGTGAGACATTAGTTAAATATTGGCACGCATTAGGGGCTAATATTTTACACCAATAAATTGTATCATTAGAAAACTTTGTATCAATACTATGTAGATTTGGCCGAAAAATAATATAAATTTTGCAGAAATATTTGCAATTACTGAATTAACATAGAAACAATTAAAATACTGAGGTAAAAAAATGATAAAAGTATTAAATAATATTCAACTATTTGACTAATTATTTCTGGCTAAATATTTTATTCTCTGAGGAAATAAATTATGTTCCACATTATTTTAGAATTCTACGCTCTCCGAGTTCCTTGAATCACTATTTTCTTCAAGCAATTTACCGTTTTTTTTTTTTTCGACAACCAATAAAAATGTCTGTGAGGTGCTTCAACCAACGCTCGTCACGTCGAATGCGACAGCAGCAGCTCGCTGTCGAACCAGATGACGAGTGCATGACGAGCGCTCAGTGTACCTAGCTTCGCGGAAAGAACTCGTGCAAACAGGCCGCGTCCATTAGTTCTCCTTTCGATCGGTTTTTGCGTCATGCGTCAGTCCGTGAAATTTTGATATTTACCGCGCGGATCGATAAAGCCCTCCTCGCGTGTGAAGCTTCGTGAGGATATAACACGCGCGTTCCAGCAATATAGAGTACTGATTAAACGCGACAGGAAGCGGAAGCGCGACAGGAAGAATATCTCCGGCGGATGGTTCCTTTCCTTTGCGGGAAAAAACCGTTCCTGACGCAAGCGGAATCAGATGAAACGGGAGAATAGGAAAAAAATGGGATTTTCGCCGGAGTTAAGTGGAGGGCGGTAATGAAAACTCTTCCATCGTTGGTGGACCGCTATTTAGAAATAATTTAGCGGTGTGCATCAAGGATTTGTTATTACTATAAATATGTCAAGATGGGCAAACCACACCGTACGTATACAATAACGCGTGCACAGTAAAATGGATGGGAATCATCGTTCGCGGGAATAATTTAAGCGCACGTACATCGTTCTCGGGAATAACGGAAAGATATACTACGAGAGAAGTGTGTTACAGAGGCGAATATATACTGTATATCATAATAAAATTTCGAAATACGTAGCCATCCGGGATATTTACCGTCACGGTGTACCATCACTCTCGAATGTAATGTCAGTGTCTCTCTTCTGGTCAGCAAAAGAGAGAATAAATGAATAAATGAGTGAATGAATGAATAAATGAATCAATCAATCTCAATTTACTAGATGTTCGGGGATAGAGAGAAAGAAAGAGGGAAATATTTCTTCAATATATATCTGAAGAATAAAATCACTTCAGAAGCAGTGCGATGTGTCTGCACGATAAAGTGGGGACCGGGGACTTCAATGGTAGCGGTTTAGTCTCTATCATATTTTTTATATACGCGGCGACGGTGACGCGATAAATTTTTCCAGATGATTTATATAGTTTATTTTTCGAGGAGAAGGTCCTACACCTCGTTTCTGTACTATGTAGCTTCCTTTGATTCAAAGTTGTCTCATGAATTATTTTTCCATGCTGTTAGCGATAAATCGTTCGACATGAAGTCGAGAAAATATTTTGTTTTGAACAAACAACAATTGAAGTAATTTAAACGGCCCTATTAAACCCTTATACTGAAAAAAAAAAACTAAATTGTAATAAATATTTATTTGAATAGTTGTAAGTAAATATTTACTAAATGTAAATATATATTTATTTGATATAAATCATTAATTAGATTTAACTATCATAAATTTTAGTGTTGAGTAAATTTACTGTAACTAAATGTTTACTTAAAACTATTCAAAGAAATATGTATTAAATTGATGTAGTAAATTTTTTGTGTGCATTTCACACCATTAGCTCATTCTGCGCATTCTTTCTTTCTTTGAAGTACTAGAAGCATTTGATTAAATAATAATCTCTATTTTTTTCCATTTTTTTAATACACAATTTTACAAATACTTTTTAAAGATGTTAAAATATATTTAAAAATTACCTAATATTTTTTGTATATTGGTAAAAGTAATAAAAATTGACCCGAGATACGAATCCATTGTGTGTCGTAAAGAACCGAAAAATCATCATGTGTACTAAAGGCTAATGTATAATAATATCATGTCACGAGGACATGATCGGAAATTCATATGAAAAGTCAGTTCATCAGTTTGTTGGTTTTGCGCGATTTGTCAATAGTCGCCGCGAATGCGGAATCCGCATTCGGAATCATGTCGAAATCTCATGCCACGGACAAAAAAGTAGCGGCGACTTGGCTCGCGACGCACCGAGCTCTGGAATTTTTGGACGAAATGGTACCGGTCGCCGGTAGATGAGGTCATTCATGGTGGGGGTTGCTCTTTGGGTGGGCGTCGCTGGGTCGATACAGGGTGGCTTCGTTCGCCGTCGAAGGCACCACGGGGTAAACGAGTACCTTGTTTCTACCTTTCGGCGAAGTCGTATGACTCTTCCTGTCGAATTAACTTGAACTTTATATTATTCAATGTTTATCAAAGGAGACATCAATTAAAGGTAAAGACAATTTGTTTTGTTTTTTAACTATTTCTTGTTTATGAAAAGTGTTACGAGCTTTTCTTA